ATATTTGAGAAATGAGGCTAAAGTCATTGAAATGTTATATGTTATTTTATACGTATTTACATATATATTTTAATAAGATTCCCAAGAGAATTTGGAGTGATGTGAATAGAGTTTAACATAAAATAAATTCTTATAATCATAACAAAAATAGATTTAGAATAAAGAAGTCAACTACCTATTTGGGTAAGTAGAATCCAAGCTGACAAAAGCTAGAAGGAGAAGGTTGGACAATTGGTCTACACCTGCTTTCCTTAATTCCTCACTTGCAGCCCAAAATCTGGATTTGGTCCTCAGAATTCAACTAAAACCTTCTTTCTGAAAGTCATCAGTGACCTCCTCCTTGCCAAATACAATGACCTTTTCTCCATTCCCTTTCTTCTTGCCCTTCTTTCCAGCATTTGACAATCCTGACCATCATTCTTTTCTTCAGTCTCTGCTCCCCTGGTTTTCAGGTGCCAGCACTAGACATTTTTAAAAAATTCTTCCCTCTTTTTCTGACATCTTTTCTTCCTCTGAACTTCTTTCTGTGTCCCTGTCAATGTATATCAAGATATAAATAATCCTCAGCTTTTGCTGCCCCAATGAGCTGATTCATTTATAAGCTCTAATACTTTCATGTTAATGACCCTCAAATCTTTATCTTTGATCTTGGTTTGGAAATCAGCTGGTCAGTCTACCAACAAGCATTTATGAAGGCCTACTATATGCTGAGCACTTTGTTAGGTACTGGAGATATAAACAGTCCCTGCTATCAAGAATTTGGGATGACCGCATATACATATATAGATGCATACACAATAGATACAAACCAATTTGGGGGAAGGGGGGTAGCAGCTGGGGAAAAGTGCCTAGTCCCAACTTCTTCTTTTACAAATGAGGAAACTGAGGCCCAAGATGGCTAAATATCTTGTGCAGGATCACACAGGCAATTAGCAATAAGAACCTGGACTAGAACCAGGTCTCTTGCTTCTCAATCCACCCTCTTTCCACTCCATCATACTGCCCCTCTTCCATCCCATGTCTAGTCTTATAGCTTCAGCTGCCTAATGGACACTTCTACATCTATCACCTCAAGTTCAACTTGTACAAAATTGAACACATCATCTCTCTGTCAAACTGGCTTCCCTCTCTGACTTCTCTTTTTCCATAAATAACACCACCATTCTCCCAGTCAGCCAGGCTCAGAAAATCTCAGAGTCATCTTTGAAACTTCCCCCATATCTCAGTCACCAAGTGCCATCAGTCCTTTCTTAAAATCTCTCTTGAATCCACTCCTTTCTTTTCTAGCTTCACTGGTGCTGCTCTAGCCTAGGCCTCTGTTGCCTCATGTTTGTATGCTTGTCTTCCTGTAATCATCTATCCTTGAGTTTCTCCCCACCACCACCACCACACACACACACATCTACTCTATCCTACACACCACCACCAGACTGATTTTCCTAAAACACTAATTTCATCATGCTTCTTTGCTCAAGAAGCTGGTGGCTCCCTGTTATTACCTGTAGAACAAAGGACATGCCCTTCAGAGCAGCACTAAAGGCTTTCTGCAATCTGATTCCATCCAACCTTCCTTTCCTTCCTCATTGTCAACCTGTTGTTCCAGTAAGATCTCTCCTCATTGTCCTAGAATCCATCTTGCTCATTCTGCAACTGACGTTTTGCAAACGTTCTTCCCTATGTCCACCTATTCAAAGTCTGCTCCTTCTTCTAGGACTGTCTTGGGTCCAAACTCTTTCCCAAAGCCTTCTTGACCACTCTATCTTACAAATAATATATCTTTACCTCATCACAATTACCTGCAATTATTATCGTGCTGCTTAATCAACTGTGTGTGTGTGTGTGTATATGTGTGTGTGTATACATAAACATGTATGTGCATATACATATTGTACATGCATATATACATGTGCATGTGTGTATATATAAATGAGTCTGTACATACACGTTTGTATATGTACATGTATACACACACATATATACATTTATGTATATACATACATGTAGGGGGATTGAGAGAGAGAGAGAGTTAGAGTCCTCACCTTGGAGATTCAGTTGCAGATGATATTGTACTGATCTCAGAACCTTGATGTTACTGTTGTTTAGTTGTGTCTGACTCTTCATGACCCCATTTGGGGCTTTCTAGATACTGGAGGGATTTGCCATTTCCTTCTCCAGCTCATTTTACGGATGAGGAAACTGAGACAAACAGGGTGAAGTGACTTGCCCAGGGTCACACAGTAAGTGTCTGAGGCTAGATTTGAACTCATGAAGTTGAGTCTTCCTGACTCCAGGCCAAGCATTCTATCCATTGCATCACCACCTCGCCACCTCCTCATTTAATTTTTTCCATTTAAGAATTGATACTTGAAGAGTTGGCTGGCTAGCCAGAATCACAATCATTTCATGTTGGAGCTGGGACTAGAGCCCTGTGTCTCCTCCAGTTCATTACTCCATGCTACTTTTGCCTCAGTCAGTATTGAATACATGAACAACTTTAGTTTCTTGCCAGCCCTGACAATCCAATATCCTTTGTCCTCTGTATCTCACTACTCTAGAAGAGGGAGGGAGTAGGAATACTTGAATTTTTGTTTTGTTTTGATTTTGGTGAGGCAGTTGGGGTTAACTGACTTGCCTAGAGTCACACGGCTAGCGAGTGTTATGTGTCTGAGGTTGGATTTGAACTCAGGTCCTCCTGACTCCAGGTGCTCTATCCACTGCATCACCTAGCTGCCCCAGGAATACTTGAATTTTAAAGACGGAGATTTAGTTGGCTGTTTTCCTAAATTTCAGTTCTCGGATGTTACTTTCCCATTTCTGTGCTATAAGGAATTCAGATGTCCCATTAGTAAACCATGTGTGCTACAAGGATGAGTCGCATTCATGTGGACTCATGGTACGAGTGCACACTGCCATCCCCTAGGGTCATGGGATCATAGATTTAGAACTAGAAGAGATCTCTGATACAACTGGGTCCAACCCTCTCACTTGACACACAAGGTACAGATGAGATCTATAAGTGACTCTTCCAAGGTCATGTAGGTAACAGAGTCAAGGCTTGAACCCAGGTTTTCTGATACTTAAGTAAGCTGCCTCCTTGTAGACTAACAACTTTGGAAACAAGAAAAAACACCTCTAAAACCACCAAGAAGTTAAAGGCAGTCCATGAAGGACCGCCAACTTTAAAACTCTAAACTCAATTCTAAAAATAAATGCTTTGTTGTAATTAAAGCAGGGATGCTCTTATTATTAATAACAGTACTCAACACCAACACAGCTTTTCATCTTCAAAGCTCCAAATATCCATAGTCTATGCCATACCCCGAAGGGTACTAGGTAATAACTACATGAGGAAAACTTGAAAAGTTCACTGGGCCTGTGTAGTCCTTTTCCAGATTGGGACTGGCTTGAACTCTAACGTGAAGGAATGTTTCAACCGTGAGGTCTTCTGCTTCCATAGGATACACTGGGGCAGTCTAGCACGAAGGGAAGCATGAAACTATAGGTATTGGCATCAGAGAGAAGAAAGCTCAGAGTTTCTTTTGGTAGCCAGAATGTTCAAAATGTTCTTTGCCTAGCTGCTGGGACTGCTAGGTTGAAGCTGATATGATTCCTGGCACTGGCATTATTTTGTCTTCCCGGAGAGGAAACCTCATAAGATTCTGAGCGGGTAGGTCCCAAGTCTGTCCTCGACTCACTTAGGAAAAGTGACTCTCCCCATGCTTCTTTTGCTGTTGTTGTTTATCTACTGAAAGTAGAATGGGTCTTCACTGCCTTCCCAGACTCTTTGTAGTTATACCCTCAGATACTAAGCGACAACGAAGCCACTTATATCCAGTGACAAAGTCCCAAAGATGTTATTGCATTTCTCAAGTAACCTTTATTTGGAGGTAATGAATGTTTCCTAGAGCTGAGAGTAGACAGGGAGAAAGAGATGGAGTCCAAAGACCTGGGTTCAGATCCTGGTTTTTCCACTTACTACCTACTTAAGGCAGGTGGCAATGTCTCTGGGCTTCAGGTCCCTCAAAAGTAGAATGAGGTTGGAATCATTGGACTAGATGGTCCGTAAGGTCCATCGTTGTTGTTGTTGTTATTTCGGTCACGTTCAACTCTTTGTGACCCCATTTGGGGCTTTCTTGGCAAAAATACTGGAGTGGTTTGCCATTTCCTTCTCTGGCTCATTTTACAGGTGAGGAAACTGAGGCAAACAGGGTTAAATGACTTGCCCCACATCATACAGGTAGTGAGTATCTGAGGTCAGATTTGAATTCAGGAAGATGGGCCTTCCTGACTTCAACACTCTGTGCTTTATGGTACTACCCCACTGCCCAGAAGGTCCCTTCAAACTCTAGATCTATCACCCTATGACAATAAATCTATAGGCAACTCTGTGAAGCAGATGTCATTATTAGCTTCATGTAAACTGGAGAAGTGGCTAGAACAGAGAACTAACCTTAGAGGCAGAAAGCTCTGGATTCAAGTCTCTCCTCTGGCACATAAAGGCTAGAACAAGTCATTTAACCCCTCATTTCCCCACTCTTCTCCCCACTAGACAACTCTCTGAGACTGTTAGATGCTGAACAGGGAAAAGGGGTTTCCTCACCAGGAATTCCCTAAACCAATGAAATCACAGATTGAATTTTAAAAAGTGAATAATAAATGAATGCTAAAAATTATCTTTATGTAACTGGAAAAAACTACTATTTAAAAAACAACAAAAAAAATTTAAGTGAATAATACCTCACTGGAGAGAAGAAGGTGGGACCTATCACAAAATCATTGAAAAGTTTGAAAGCCAGTGGGGAAAACCAGGAGGTGCCTAAAGTAGGAATTATTTTAGTGGGCTACCCTGGCCCTCCATCATGTTCATTATTCTCATGGACTCAAAACCATATGGGTAAAGTTGTATTTTCAGAGGGAGGATGTCTATGTTCTCCTCCAAAGACTTTGTTTGTGGTCATATATTAAAATCAAGTTTGTTTGTTTGTCTTTTCTTTTTTCAGATCTGAAGGGGGCAAAGTTGAAAGCACATTTATATACAACCAGAAGACAGTTTTCTAGTTTGATTCAACTTTAAGGTAGGTGAAAATTAATTCGGATATTGAGTCCATATTTAAATGCGGCTCCTTAAAGAACAAGCTATTTCTTCTCAGTGCACCATAGAATTACTTAGAAAACTTTATTTTGACTATCATAGTAGTTTCCATGATATCATTTTACCACCCCATTAAAAGAGTGAAGAATAGCACATTTTTCCTAAGACAAAACAAAGATAAGAGAGACCTAGGGATGGTGAAATACATAAATGCTTAGAAACAAATCTCTAGTAAGTTTTCTAAATTACTCCTGTTTTTCTGTGGCTAGTCATATGTTAAATCAAGTTTCTAAGCCTCTCGTAAGAAGGCAGTGTGGTATAATGGATAGAGACCTGACTCTGACACAGGTCATGTGACCATGGACAAGTCATTGAACCTGTCAGTGACCTTGTAAGTGACCATGTAAGACTCTTAATAGATGAGTTGTCAGTCCACATCTGTGAAGGTTTCCACACTGTGAGGTTCCTACCTCAGTGAAATCACACATTCAGACCAAAAAACCCCTACAGTTTTATAGTTAAATTGAAGATGCTGAGCTTGATCCTACCCTGTATGCTATAGGACTAAAATCTTTTAAGCATACAGGCATTCTCTCCTTTCCTCTTCATGCTTAGCTCCAAAAAGAATAATTAACTCACCCATTGCCAACAGCCCACTTGTTCGAATAACTGCCCTCCCAGCGTTGGATTTATGACTGGGTGTGGGAGTCAGGCATACAAATGATGAGATTTAAAGGATGCCAGGCAATGTCTCCTGTCTCCAAATTTGGTCTCCAAGTACCTATCACTGTCTGAAATTCTACCATTTGAATTTTTTCCACCTTTTTTGGTCTATAAATGTTTCTTTCTCTGAGTCCTCTAAAAATTTTACTGGGGGAGCTGACTACTTAAACTGCAGTTGGGAGGTATGAGTTGGGAGCAAGTTAAAAGCAAAGGCTAGGAAATGGAACCCAGGATAGACCTGGCAGGACAATAGGGTGAGTGACAATGAGAGGAGAGAAGGATCTAGAAATGGTAGATGGAAACCCTAAGAGGACAAACTTTGCCAGCTTCAGTTTGCTCAGGGTCTAGTACGACAGTGACAGTGCCCTGTGCTCTGCTCTCCTTCTAAACGAGGAAATAGATGTTCTTAGCTGGCCTCAATCAACCTATGGTCATAGCTCTAGAACTAGAAAAAAACCTCAGAGGATATCAAATCCAACCCTTTCTTTTTTACTGATGAAGAAACTGCCCAGGCTCACACAGGTTCCCCTTCTTCCCCACTTTGTGTTATGCTAATGCAGCCCCTAGCATCAGCATGGGATTATGGAGTCAGGTAGGTTGGTCAAGAGACAGATGATGTCAAGTGTGATTTTAAGTTCTGGGGGAGGAAATTAAAGGCATTGAATTTGGAGTCAGAGAACATCTAGGTTCAAGTGCCAGCTCTGCAATTTGCTACCTGTGTGGCCTTAGATAAATCACTTAAGTTCTCTGGGCCTCAGTTTTCTCATCTGTAAAATGAGGGTTTTGGACTGGTTGACCTCTAAATTCCCCTCGATATCATTGTTTGTTTAGTCATTTTTCAGTCATGTCTGACTGTGACCTTTTTTTGGAGTTTTTTGGCAAAGATCCTGGAGTGGTTTGCCATTTCCTTCTCATTTTACAGATGAGGAAACTGAGGCAAACAGGGTTAAGTGACTCACTGAGGCTCACAGAGCTAGTAAGTGTCTGAGGCCAGATTTGAATTCAGAAAGATGAGTCTTCCTAACTCTAAGCCTCACACTCTATCCACTGCACCACCAAGTTGCCCACAAAGTCCCTTCTTTAAACTCTAAGTCAACAATCCAATATTCCTAAATTCTTGATATATTTTTGTAGATTCGAGAAGAGCACGTTTGCTTTCAAAGGAGCAGGCGTGGCTCTTGACTAATATATAGTATTCTGTAATATAAGTGAAATTATTGGGACCCCTGGGTGGGTGAGTGTGTGGGGAGCCCACACAAACGATCACTACTTTTCCTTGTAGCTCGGTGCCAAGTCAATGGCTGCCATTTGCAAGTGATGTGTCAATGCCTACAGGTACCTCATACTGCCAAATCCCCTAAGTCTTTTCTTGGAATCTTGGGGTAACTCTGGGAATCCCTAGAACTGTAGGCCCACATGGCAGGGCTTTGCCTCTGGGGAGGTCCAGCAGTTCCTAAAAATCACAAGGTATACAAGTGTATGCTCTTAGGGAGCATGAAAAATCCGCAAGACTCATTGAGAATGTAAAAGCTCTTTGAGAGGAAGGATCATTTCACCCTCTGTATTTGTATCCCTAGAACCAGTTTAATAAATACCTGCGGCTTGATTAATTAAATTCAGTATATCTTGAGGAAGCTGGGAAGTATTTTTCTAAAGTCATTAATTAGCACAACAAACAGAAGCCATAATGACTGAGAGAGGAATTGTCCAAAGTCATCACTGAATTGCTTGCATCAGCAATATTTGCTTGATTTTCAGCAGCTTAATGTATCCCAGAGTGGAGTTTCAGTTCTTCCACAAACCATAGAAGGACAAAGTTGGAAGTTGAGTCTAGGCCAGCATTTTATTAATCTTCTTAACTCACCTCTCCCGGTTGCCCTCCCCCTACTCTTTTCTAGTTCAACAACCACTTAAAATCAGTAACTTACCATCCTCTTGGAAGATTTCTCCTATGATTAAAACCACACTTGCTATACCCTCCTTTTGGCTACCATCTCATACAGTTTTCAGTGGGTACCAATCAGTCAACAAACATCTATGAAATGTTTTCCATGTGCCAGGGACTGTGTTTAGTGTTGGAGATACAAATAGGTTTAAAAAAAAATGGACTCTTCCCTCAAGGAGCTCATATTCAAATGGGGGAGATAATATGCAAATAATTATGTAAATAGAAGATAAATACAATGTAAATAGGAGGTGATATCAGAGAGAAGGCTCTGGAGGTAGGGGGGCAGAGCTGAGGCTTGCAGAAAGTGGGGAAGCAGGGAAGACTGTAAGTCGAGGTGAGGAGAGAGAGCATTCCAGGCATGGGGAGCAAAAACCAATGTTGTGTTGAGTGTGCTAAGCTTACAGCAGGTAGAGCAGCATAGCTGGATCATAGAGCATGTGGAGGGCAGTGAAGTATGGAAGAAGACTAGTCGGCAGGGGCCAGGTTGTGAAGGGCGTTAAATGAGAGATGAACTTCAAAACACCAACTCAGAACTGGGAAAATCTTGGAATCTTTTGCAATCCCTTCAGTTTTGTTTTCAGAGTTCTACGCTTCATTGAGCCAGGTAGAATGTAACCAGAACAGTTGCTGTATCTGAACAGTAGCGTTGGATTAAGCAAGGGGAGATCTACAAAGAGGAACCAGCTGAAATTTAGGAGTATCTGCACCCCTAAGGAAATTATAGCATTAATTCAATTAAAAAATATTTAGTGAGTACCTCTTAGGTATAAGATGCTATGGGAGGCATGGATAGGGATATGAAAATGAAAACCTAGCCCTAGTTGGCAATGTAATTATTTTAGGAAGAGCAAGGCCCTCCTCTCTCCCTCTCCCCAAAAAGACTAAGATAAGCATAGAAATAACCAGTATGACAAAGCAGAATGAAATAAGTGTCACTAGAACACGTGCTAAATACAATGGAGGTTCAAAAGAGAAGACCACATTTGGTTAGGCACCATTTAAGCTGGACCTGAAAGGATACATATGTCCCTAAGCAGAGATACAAGAGTAAGGACATTCTAGGCAGAAGAAAAAGCATGAGCAGAAGCAGAAAAGAGTGGGAGCAATAAATAATATCATTTGACTAGATCATAGAGTGCTTGTAGGTCAAAGAGGCTGGAAAGACAGGTTCAGGCTGTATTGTTGAGGACTTGGATCTTACAGGGTTTAGACTTTTTCTTTTTTCAGTAAGCAGTGGGGAGCCATTGAAGGTTTTGGAGCACTATAACAGGAAGTGGGCATTAGGAAATTTTATTTGGAAAACAGTGTATTGGTTGGATTGGAAAGTAATGAAATTGGAGTTGGGGAGTCTAGTTAAGAGAATTCTGTGTTGTTAGCTAGCTAGAAGCTTTAATTAAGGTAGGAACAATAGGAATGGAAAGGAAAAGAGGGATCTGAGGCATTGTAAAGGTAGAATCACTGGAACTGGAAAAATCTACAAGAATGGGCATGGAGTGGGGTGGTTTACTGAGCAGAGGGGCAGGGACAAGGGAAGGGAATGAATTAAAGATCACCAAGTTTTCAAGATTGGGCAACTGAGGGAATTGGTGGTACCATTAACAAAAATGGAGAAGTCCAGAGGAAGTCACTAAGCTTGTAAGAGAAGAGTTATGAATTGTACCTATTGAATTTGAAGTCCTGGTGGGACAGAATATATTTCACTTAAAAAAATCAGAAATTTTTATTTTTTGCAAGCATTGAGACCATTTACAAAAAATAGCAACTTTTAAGATTTGGAAGACAAACCAGAGGCCTGAATTTGACAGGTCTCTCTCTCTCTATATATATATTTATATGTGTGTACATTCACACATATATACATACAGAGAGAGAGAGAGAGAGAGAGAGAGAGAGAGAGAGAGAGAGAGAGAGAGAGAGACTGAGACCTTTTTTTGTGGGTTTTTTTTTCAAAGAAATTTTAGATATTTAGAAGAAGCCTTTAAAATCTCAGGGCTCTTACTGAATTCAGAATCCCCATCAGTGGTACACACTTTTCCATGAAACGGGAAGTACCAGAAATCCTGAGAGACAGCTCTCACTCATCCCCTGGGAGACCCTCCAGGGCTCCTTTGTCAGGATGCCCCTCCCTGATAGGCCACAAAGCTTCGGGGCAGTTTTTCTACCCAGCTCTTTTCTGGACATTCCCCACCAACTGTCCACCATTAGGAATTGCTCCTGCACCGTAAATTTTGTAAGTCTGAAACTCGGTACACAGGAAACTCTGGAGCCCAGGCAGCTGGGAGAGTCGCCTGTGGGGTTAATTTATAACTAAG